TTAGTCATATAGCAATTATGGTTTGGAAACCTTTACGACCTGGTGCAGTCAAACTGTGACACAGTGAACAGGCGGATGAAGGCACAAGACACGGAGGGAAAAGGACCAACCAGAAAAAGACAGAGAAGAAAAATTGTCCAATCATCTGTCTTCTAGAAGCTTTAGGGATTGTAGGTAGACATCTATCATACTGCCTCTCTCCTCTCTTTAGGCAGCAAGTCAGGATTTGGACTGTGTGTGTGTGTGTGTGTGTGTGTGTGTGTGAGAAGAAAGACTTGTCTCAGTAAACAATTGCAGCAGGAGGTTAGATCCCACAGACAGCAGCAAAATAGAACAAATAATGAATATGAGTGTCTATTCAAATAGTTTTAAAAGCTTTTTAAAGCACTGACTCAGCTGACCTGAGGAGGCGCACACTGAAACTGTCAAAAAATAAAAAAACACTGTTTTGTTTTGAGCTTTGACTCCAGGACATTTAACAGCTGTTGGTCAGCAGATCTGCGGAGTGAGGGGAAAATCTGAATTATATACGAGGGAGCATTAAAATGAGATGTGATTCACAACGAGAGGCCACAGGTGTGCCCTATTTTCTAACTTCATTAATCACCTGATCGTCAGTAGTTTTCAGCCGAGGAGCTCCCACAATCCCATTTTAACCAGATTGCCTATCACCAAAATGCAGGTCAAAGGGGCTGATTTCAGACCATAGTTAGTAAGTTAGTTTGTTATATATTGTGTACTACGCTGCCCATGTGCTATTAAAACACACACACACACCACTGGCCCCTTACCTTAACCTTAACTATCACAACGAAATACCTAACCCTAACCTGAAACTAATTCTAACCCTAAAACCAAGTCTTAACCCTCAAACAAGCCTCACAAAATTGTGATGACCAGCCAAAATGTCTTCATAATGATAGTATTGAACCTAAATTGTCCCTCATAGATAAAACAAGAACACAAGTAAAACAAATAAATTAAAGCCATTAAATCATCATATAAGCAAGGCTATGTCTTCACGTCACCTATAATCAAAACAAATTATTTTCTCTTCAGGGAGATTGATTTATCTGAAAATAACTGTACACAAAAAGATCTTTAACTAGAATACGATGGAAGTACTAAGCTCCTAGAACTTGACTGATACGAATTGGAGACATCGGCATCGTGAGAAAAGCAGGAGCCAGCAGGAAATAGACAGCGAGAGGCAGATAGTTAGAGAGCGAGTTGAAGGCTCCTCCCTGTGGAGTCGTCTTCAGGTCACCCTAACGTGACGTGGATCGATACACTGAGTCCCTGTTGACCCTTCTTCGACACCTCCTCTTCTCCCTCTTCTCTCCTCACACAGACACCTTCCATTTCCTGCACAAAACAATAACCGTCACAAAGTCCTAACTTCTTTGAATCTCTTCGTATTAGGAGATATTTGCTGGAACTAGACATTAAACCAAGCCGGTGTTCATCTCCTCTTTGTGCTAATGAGAAATTAAATGAAACAGAATAATTCGTGTGAAAATGATAAGAGACCTTAAAAACTTGATTTGACTGAATTACTTCGGTCGGCTAATCATTAAGTTTGTGAAACTGTATTGACTGTATTTTTTCCCACCCATTTCACCAGACGGGCTCCGTAGTAAAGAGTCTCAGAGCGTTTTCTTTTTTTCTTTTCATGAAGCTTCACGTCATGAAGCTTCGCATTACATGAAGTAATCTATTACAGTGCCATCTTTCATTCAGACTGTCAAACATTATTCCTGTTTCTATAAACTTCATGTAGGATTTCATTAGTGTTATGTTTCCCTTTTTGCAGAAACAATAACGCTGACAACCGTGAGGCAGTTAAAGAAAAAAGCTTTATTTACAATATTTAAATGAAGGCAGACAACAAACGTAGGTTTGTACAACAAAAGTACAAGAAAACAGGGCCTAGCTCAACTCTATCTGTGAGGAAAGAAAAAGAAAACAAAAGGCCTGAATATCTTATCTACAGAAGTGTCTCAAAATCAAATAGCAACA